TCAGCGAGCCAGCAGGTCGCAGCGGCCTTGTGGGACCGCCCCGCGCTGGCAGCCCAAAGCACCGTGTCCTGGTGCCAGGTGCTTGTGTACCAGGACTAACCCCGCCAGAAGCACTGGTGTAACTCTGGGTTTGTAATGTCCCCCTCCCCTCTGACCACCCTGATCCCTGCAGCCAGACCCAGGGCGAATCCTGCTCCAGGGGGAGCCGCTGGGAGCAGCTCCACTCCTGACAGCCAGCCACTGTTGGCAGGAGTTTTGTTTGGGCACTAAATCTTTCTGGTGAAGCAGTCGTGCGGAGGAGGAGGGGGCTGCTGGCTGCGTGTGTAGGGGCGCTGCCCCAGCACCAGTTCCTATGCGGCTGACGGCGGCTGCCCTGCGCTGAAACATCCGTGACGCTCTCCACTTCCTTCCGCCAGCTCGCCTGGTGGGGAAGAGGACTAGGGAAACGGTGCAGAGCTGGGTGCTGGCAGCCGCTCGGGTTGGCTGAGCGGGCGGAGTGCCATGCTGAGCTTTACCTGGGGTTTGTTCTTCCCTTCGCGCCAGCGGGGCTGTCCCTGTGAGCCGAGCAGGCGGCGCACGGACTTTGCGCTCTGGCGCTGCCGAATCCTTCCCCGCCAGCAGGACCGAATGAAGTGACTAGTTGCCATAGCTCTGGCAGGCCCGTCCCGCGGGGACCCGGTGTGTGCCACGCAACCCCCTGGCCGGTGCGGGGAGACGGGTCTGTCCCTTGTGCTGCAGCATGGCTGAGTCTCACGCTGTAGCGGGGACACGTGGCTCCGGGCGTGCCCTAGCGCTGAGCTGTTGGAGGAAACTGCCTTCTACAACAGAGCCTGCTGGGTCTGCCCGGGCTGGCCGTGTGCCTTCGAGCCAGTCCCTTCCTGGCTGTGAGTGGGCGGATAATCCCGCCCCACCCCGTTTGACAGCTCCAGGATGGAGCTAGCTGCAGGGTCGTGTTTAAAACTAGTTGTGCCACTTTGAGGGTGTGTTGGGGGGAGGGGGGGGGCTGTCCCTTCCTCTTGCTGGAGGAGACGGCCTGGGGGAATCGCTTCCCTCACGCTGCTGGGCACCGCACTGACGTGTGGTGTGTCTTTGTGCCGTGCCTGGGGGGGGGGGATCGCTAATGGGGCTACCGGGGGGATGGGCACAGGCTGGGAAATGCTGAGCACCGCTGGAGGGAGGCGAGATGGCAGCTGCCCTCCCCTTCCCCCTCGCCAGTTGTTTGCGTGCGATCCCCGCGAGTTACCACCGGGCCCTCTGGCCCCTCCCGTGTTGACGGGGTCAGATGGCAGCCCTCTCCCAGGGCTGAACGCGCCCCTGCCTGTGTTCCTAGGGAGCCAGGTTCCTGTCTGCTTGGCTTTTTAGCAAGGCAACCGGGCTGAGCGGGGAGCTGTATCTGGTGTTCCCTGGGACTGTCGGTCGGTGGAACCACGCGCCCATTAAGAGGGCAGGACAGTGGCTGTTGGTCTTGCTGCTCTTACTCCATGAGATGTAAATCCAAGAGGCCCTGATGCCACAAAGGGGCCTCTAGCGGAGCCTGCAGATGCATCCAGTCTCCTGGCTTTGTGACCCTCGGTTCCAGTGGAGTCTCAGTGGTCTGGGGATGGAGCTGTGTTTAAATCAGAGCACCTGTTTTCATAAGAGCGTGAGGCCCGATGGATGGGGCTCCGCTGGGAGTCTCACTCCTGCCTCTGGTCCCCACTCTGCTGCGTTGCCTCCGCTCCCATCCCCCTGACTGCAGAAAGCAAACGCTCCGCTGCTGTTGGAAGTTGGACGTGAGCTCGGAACGTCGTCCAGGAGAGGAGCTGGCGACGGTCTTTGTGCCACGAGAGGCAGTCTGGGTCACCGCTGCGTCTGGGCGAGGATCGGCCCCACCGGCTCCCTTGTGCGCCTGTCAGTGGGTGAAATCTGCGTTCGCTGCCTCCCTACAGCGAGCTCTGGGACCCAAGGGGGATCCAGGCTCGGCTGTTCCGCCGGAGTTCTTCTGCCCAGCTGGGAGCAGGCACGGAGAGAATAGTCGTGCGATCTCAGACTTCCTGGTCAGCGCTGGCTGCACCTGGCTGTTCTCTCGTAGGCTTCTAGGTCTGAGTTACCCTAAAGCGATTCCCTCGGCTGGCAGCGGCGCCAAAAGCCTCTTTCATGCCACCGCAGCTTTGCTTCTTGGTCTCCCTGCAGTGTGGCTGCTGCCTGCTTTGTGGAGAGGCACTGACGGAAACCAGTGATAGCTGCTGGGCTGCCCTAGGCCCGTGGAAACCCAGCGTGCAGGCCAGGCTTAAACTGTCTGCAGCGGGGAGAAGAACCTGGCGCAGCATGAAAATTGCAGCTTCCACCCTGTCCTGGACAGGGCGCCCTCTCCGTTTACAGCCCTGCCGAGCCGAGACTGTTCCTCTCCCTGCCTTGCCTACAGGAGCCTAGAGCATTGCCCCGAAAAACCTGACGTGGGGGAGCCCAGAGCCTGTGCCCCATCGCCCCAGGCAGCGGGGCTTACGCTTTGCTGTGAGCCCTCGGCCCCGGCGAGTCTAACCCTGGCCCTGGCAACCCTGTTAAAATGCTGCGGGACTGAACCTGCGCGTCGAAAACCTAGAGCCTGTGGCGATTTGACCCATCACGTGGCCTCAGTGTCTGCTTCAGGGTGGGAGCACTCTGGAAGGGTCCCAAAGCACATGGTGTTCTCCTGGGCCCTGGCACAGATAAGGTCACAAGGCAGGCTCTCCTCCCCCCCCGCCTTGGAGAGGACAAATCTTGGTCCTCTGTTCTTCAGTCAGCATAAGCCCGAACGGGTCTCTGACATCAAGCATCTAACTCCAGCGCTCAGTCTGCGGGGGGGGAGGTTACTGCTTGGGCTGGCCGACCCCCACGGGACGGGTGGGCGCTGCAGAAAGCGGGGAGGTCGGCTCAGTAAGGGGCATGCTTCGCCCTAGGGCGGACCATCGGACACACATTGCTGGGCTGGCTGCAAGGGGAAGCACCCTGTCTAGCAGAATTCCACTTCCCTGTGCTGCAAACCGCAAGGCCTAGCTCCCTGCGGTGGGGAACCTGTCCTGCCTCCCCAGAGCAGCGGCGTCCAGACGACGAGACCGGACCTTCTGGAAGCGCTAGTCTGGGAACGGTCTGGCCTTGGAATCGACAGACCTGACGCGCCACCTCTTTGGCATTTACCTTCCGCCTCCCGTGTGGCTTCCGGCTTTCTCGGTCTTGTTCTTTAACCTTTGTGCGGCAGTTCCTGTGAGCTGCGAACCCGCTGCCGCCCCCCTCCCGGCTCCTCGGGGCAAGTCTACACTAACACCAGTCCAATGGTGCATGCGGAGACAGTCCATGAGGCGGTAGCTATGGCAACGGGAGATGCTGTCCCACCGACATGGGAGAGCTGTATAGCTACATCTGAGTGTGTCACCCCCTCAGTGATGTAGCTGCACCCGTAGCGGTCTGCCACGAAGGCCAGAACTTAGCGACTGCTGCTGTTGCCCCCTGTCTGTTTCTAAAGCCCTTTTGACCCCTTTAGCACCCCAGGCGTGTGAGTGTTTGCAGAGCTGGGATCCTTCCACTGCTCCCTGCAGCTAAACAAAGAGCTGTTCCTGGCGCCGGGAAGGGAGCAGGATGTTCCGAGCCATTGAAGGCGGGCAGGACAGAAGCAGTCCTGAGCAGCATCCCAAACTAGCCTGCTGGGCCCGGAGCAAATAACCGGGGCTTGTGCCAGGGTTTTGTGATTGCCTGGCCAACTCCAGACACGCGTGCTCGGGTGGGTGCCATGCGCAGGTTCTGGATTTGCGACATGAAGGTGAATCCCGGCAGCGGCCTGTCCGCTAGGCGCTTCCTGCCGCAAGCATGAAGGGAATGTTTGTCAGTAGCGGCAGAGGCCCTTGAGCAGAACGGTTCCTGCGATTGACTCTGTTAGCGGGTCTGTGGGTCCTGGCAGCGCACGGCCTCCGTGCCCACGAGGCATCGCCAACGTGCAGCCCTAGCTGGGAGTACGAAACTGAAAGTCGCTCCTGGGGGGACCCTTTCTTCCCCAGGATGCTCTGACAGTAGCTTCTGCATAGCCCCGGGGCCTGCTCTGCACAGCTGTGTATTCCAGGTGTGTGGCGTGAGCCTGTTGCTGGGCAGGTCCCTTGGTGGGTAAGAACCAGACCAGCTCCCAGTCCGGTGTGAGACCCCCATTAACGGTGCCTGGGTTCTGCTCAGTCTAATTCCCGGGCCCGCAGGAGTTTAGGGAAGTGGCTCAAAACTCTCTGGCTCCCGCGTAAGAAGGGCTGGGGTGTTACTAGTGGCTAAAGACTCATCATGTGCTAGAATCGCTCCTGAAACCTGTCACACATCAGCCAGCTCCTAAGTGGAGCCAGCCTCCTGTCATGGGCCGCTTTGTGTGTGTTTAAAGGCGGCGTTTCCGTCTTCTACCCAAGTGCTTGGGGGCAGCTGCTGAAAGACCTTTATTTTTCTCCATGAGCTTGTGCCTGCCGAAACCACGGTGTCGTTCCGCTAACTGGCGGGCTGCTCCGGGGCCCCATGCCAGCAGTGGCCAGCCCTGATCTCTGATGCTCGGCTGTTTACACGCCCAACCTGCATGGGACGCTCCCCCGAGCCAGGGCTGACTCATGCTGCTCTGAAAGGCCTGCGGGAGTGCGACTGTAACAGGCAGAAATGATACAGCTCCCTCCCCTGCCAGCTCTTGACACGCCAGTGGGGGCGTGGTGGGGGCGTGCCCGGTACGGGAATGGGCTTGACTCACTGGCACGCTCTCCATGCAGACCGGGAGGTGTATGATGAGTACAAAGCAAAACAAAATGCCCCGTTTTCGCCTGGCTGGGTGTGGCTGCACCAGGGAGGAGGCTGGGGAGTCCTGCTCAGTCCTGTGCGGGGCTCGCCCTCCATCAGTGCCCTGGCCAAACCTGCTCGGTGTGACCCACCTGCTTGCAGCAGAGGGAAATCCCAGCAGAGCGGGGCCTGTGAGGACCCCCCGGTATGATTCTTGCCCTGCTGGTGTCCCCCATGTGGTATTGACCGGCCTAGCGCGGCACCGACCTGTTCCCTCGTTCCTGCGCGCTGCGTCTCTGCCAGGCGAAGGTGTAAGAGCCCCCTCTCTCCTTCTCTCTCCAGAATGCACCGTGTATATTCTTTGCTGCCCGACAGGCCAGCTCTGCTTCCACGGTGAGTAGCGATCTCGCGCCTCGGGGTGCGTCTGGGGAGAAGGGGGCTTGGCTTCTCCAGTCCATCCAGTTCTGTGGCTCGTGTCCTAGCCCCCACGGGAAAGCACTGCAGAGGCGCAGTCCAGAGGCCACGGCTGGCGTGGTCAGGGAAGCCCGTGCCGTCTGGCGTTGTTCGGCGGGATTTCTGTGCGGCATAACCCGGATCCCTCCCTGTGGAGGAGGGCCGGGGTTAGCCGTGCTCGGCTCTGCCATGGTGTGGTGCTGCCCGTCACTGGCTCTCACTTCTCCCCCCACCCTCAGAACCTGAAAGACGTCCTTTCCAACCTGGTCCCCAAAGAGCAGTCGAGAATCAAGAGCTTCAGGCAGCAATATGGCAACACGGTCATTGGGCAAATCACCGTGGAGATGGTGAGTGTGGCGGGGGGGTGGGGCTCCGGCTCGCGTGGATGCTCCTTGTTCCCTCTCTCGCCGTCGAGGGAGTGACTTTTACTTGTAAATGCCTGTGCCAGGCTGCCAGCCTCATCCAGTGTCCCTCCCCCCAGGCTGGATCAGCAGGCTCCCTTCTTCCTGGACCCACTGGGGGTCTAATCCACTCCGCCCTGGGCAACGCGGCCAGTGGTCGCCGCTTCTGAGCGACGTGGCAGAGCTCTGGGTTTGCAGTGGCCCAGATGCACTGGGGTGGGCGACTTGCCCTGGGCATCGCTTTGTGCCTGGGAGTGGGGGCCCGAGAGCGCTCTCCTGGCGAGCACAGCTGGAGATGTTGCGTTGCCCGGGCCCGGTGTGTAGAGGGGGGGTTGTGGCTCAATGCTTCCCTCGGCTCATTTGGTTGAGGTCCTGGACACCCAGCCAGGCTGTTGAGCTTGAGTGGGATCCTGGGGGAGTTGTCCGGTAGCTTCTCACTGCACCTTCCCCGGCCTCCCGTGGGCCATGTGTTGGGGCTGGCAGCCATGGGGCACAGGCTGATGGGGGTGCCGGTGCTGAGAGGCTGCAGCAAGCAAACGCCTGCCATGGCCCCAGCCCTGCCAGGGAGGGAGCCTTGCTCTGCTGCACCCAGGTAACTGCCTGGCTCTGCCCCTTCCAGGTGTACGGCGGAATGAGAGGCATGAAAGGGCTAATATACGAGACCTCTGTCCTGGACCCTGATGAGGTAAGGCCCCTCCTCCGCCTCCTGTCCCCAAAGCTGATTCCCTTCTCTACCCTTTGTAGTAAGATGAGGGCCTGCAACAAAAGCCCGTGTATTCCAGGCCTGGTTTGAGGCCCAGCTAACAGTGGACACAACTTGGCTGATATAGAATCATAGAATACTAGGACTGGAAGGGACCTCGAGAGGTCGAGTCCAGTCCCCTGCCCTCATGGCAGGACCAAATACTGTCTAGACCATCCCTGACAGACATTTATCCAACCTGCTCTTAAATATCTCCAGAGATGGAGATTCCACAACCCCCCTGGGCAATTTATCCCAGTGTTTAACCACCCTGACAGTTAGGAACTTTTTCCTAATGTCCAACCTAAACCTCCCTTGCTGCAGTTTAAGCCCATTGCTTTAAGCCCATATAAAGCTAAGCTGTGAGCAAGAGGCAGGCCCCCGGCACGAGAGTGCAAAGCACTAGCTGGTAATAGGCCCAGGTGTAGAACAGCCCTTGGTACTGGTCACAGGTTGAAAGCACCTTCCGAAAGGATGGTACCACCCGCTGGTTAGGAAAACCCCTTGGTCCCCACGATCCTTTAGAGGTCTAAAGGCTCTAAACTGCCAGGGTGCTGGATAGAGACGTTCTCATCAAACCACCAGGTGGTGGATGGTCTCAGGAGCAGCAACCGGCCACGTCAGGCGTGAGGTGTAACTTGGCTGTTGACAGGCACAAAGTGGGGTCGTGGAGGGGCTGTGTCTGTTCGGCCCGTGGGGTGCTGGGACTCCCACGGAGTGAGCTGGTCCCTCGGTAGGGGGTACGTGTGCTTAGTGGTTGGTAGAGTTTGACAGCTGTTCCTGTACTTGGCTTAATAATAAACCTGGCCGGGCCCCTTGCGTCCTTGTCTGGTTTGTGGTCTTCAGGGCTCTCTCGGCGTCTGCTGGGTTGTCTCCTTGCACGAGTCAACACGGCCCATGTGACTGAGCCCACCCGCACGCTGCCGATTGGTTCGCATCCCTGACGGCGCGGGAGACGCCAGTAAGTCCTGACTGCTGCACCCTTCTCTCCAGGGCATCCGCTTCCGCGGGTACAGCATCCCCGAGTGCCAGAAGCTGCTGCCCAAAGCCGCTGGAGGGGAGGAGCCCCTGCCCGAGGGCCTGTTCTGGCTGCTGCTCACCGGGGACATCCCCACGCAGGAACAGGTGAGGCTGTTGGTCCCTGATCTCATGTGGCCTGCGTCCCAGCTCCTCCGTGGGGCTCCCCAGCTAACCCGGTGTGGTGTCCTTCCTCCCACAGGTGAGCTGGGTCTCCCAAGAGTGGGCCAAGCGGGCGGCCCTGCCCTCCCACGTGGTGACCATGTTGGACAACTTCCCCACCAACCTGCACCCCATGTCCCAGCTGAGCGCGGCCATCACCGCCCTCAACAGCGAGAGCAGCTTCGCCCGGGCCTACTCAGAGGGCATCAACCGGGCCAAGTACTGGGAGGTAGGGGGCTGGGCTGTGGCTCCCGGGGCGGCGTCCGACCTGCAAGGCTGGACTCCTGTTGCCAGCGGCTGGAAGCCCCAGGGGGAGAGGCTGCAGTGTGGGCGGGAGTGGGACGGGGAAAGGCTGGCTCTGCCTCCGACTCCTTCTGGGGCCTTGCCCGGGTCACTTCCCCTCTGCCTCAGGGTGCCCAGTGAGGCTAGCGCTGTCCTGCGCAGGCTGGAGCCAGGCTTCCCCAGGGCTGGCTGCGCCCCTCCGTTTCAAGGCAGCTGAGCTGGTGTTCTCCTGGAACAGCCTTCCCCACTCCAGGCCTGGCCAGGGGCTGGGGAGAGCCAGCCAGAGCAGCCCTGTCCTTAGCCCTGCCCCTGGCACCTGAGTTCTCAGTCCATCTCAACTGTCTGTGGCCTCTGGGCCTGTAAGTGCTGGAGCCCACCCCCACGCACAGTCTGGTATTCCCTGGGCCCTTCCCGCTGCTTTCCCTGCCTGCTGCGTCAGCGCGAGCTACCCTATTTCCCCTGCACGGTTGGCACCTCCTCCCCGCCTATGGATGGGCAAAGTGATTTGCTTGGCCAGGATGGCGCAGTCGGGGACACGGCTCTCTGGTCCCTGCTCACAGCACCGGTATGTGCCCCGACTCCCAAAGGAGCAATTGAAACTCCTCTGCCCCTTCCCCGGCTGTAGGGACAGGCTGTGGCACCACTGAACCGCAGCCAGCTCTGGGGTGGGACGTGGCAGGCATCCAGCAGCAAAGGCCGAGGACTCGGCGCTGCTGGGGAGGCCTGGATCGCAGCGGGAAGCGGGGGCCGAGCCGGGCCCTCGCTGCCCTTCTCGAGCAGCCTGCCTTCTCCTCGCTCCCCAGTTCATCTACGAGGACTCGATGGACCTCATCGCCAAGCTGCCGTGCATCGCTGCCAAGATCTACCGCAACCTGTACCGCGAGGGCAGCAGCATCGGCGCCATCGACCCCGGCCTGGACTGGTCCCACAACTTCACCAACATGCTGGGCTACAGCGACCCCCAGTTCATTGAGCTCATGCGACTCTACCTCACCATCCACAGGTGAGCCCCACGTGTGGGGAGCGGGGCGGGGGTGCGCCGTGGTAAGTTGTGTGCTGCCCAGCCCCCGGCTGGCGCCGTGGATGCTGCCACCGTGCATGGGGACATCCTGGGGAGAAGCAGGTACATCTGAGTGGGCAGAGGGAAGCCCCTGCCCCAGTCAGCAGGGCTCAGGCCTGCCAGGCTCCGGGCCGCCCAGCAATGTTTCCTTGAATTTTTTCCATCGGTGCAGAATAATGTTGTGTACCAAGGCATGTGCACCACCAAGAGACACAAAAAGTCTAGCTGCAGGTGCTCTGCTGCTCAGCCGGGCGCCCTTCTTCACACAGCACAGTGTCAACCTGTGGAACTCCTTGCCTGAGGAGGTTGTGAAGGCTGGGACTAGAACAGGGTTTAAAAGAGAACTAGATAAATTCATGGAGGTTAAGTCCATTAATGGCTATTAGCCAGGATGGGTAAGGAATGGTGTCCCTAGCCTCTGTTTGTCAGAGGGTGGAGATGGATGGCAGGAGAGAGATCGCTTGATCATTCCGTTCGGTTCACTCCCGCTGAGACACCTGGCATTGGCCACTGTGGGCAGACAGGATACTGGGCTGGATGGGCCTTTGGTCTCACCCAGTCTGGCCATTCTTATGTGCTTATCGGATTCTCCCCTGAGCGGGCGCCCAAGTGCCCAGCTCACAGGGATGCTGCTGCCCACAGGTCAGTGCAGGCCGGGCTTCCCGTGGCCAGGGTGGAATCGGAAGCTGGCCGGGGTGCTGAAGACCAAGGCAGCGGCTGCTTTCTGGGCTGTGCCAGGCGGTTGGGTCCCATCCCTGTTGATGTTTGTTCCGCTTGGCACAGGCAGCAGGGGGCTGGAGTTGTCCCTCAGAGCACATGGGGCCTGGCCAGGGCAGCTTCCCGCCCCCTCCCCGAATGCAGGCCATTGCTGCCCCCTGCTGGTTGGGATGTTGGAGCTGCTGTCTGGGCTGGCAGCCCCCCAGTTGGGCAGTACGCCAGCTGCTGCCCTCTGCTAACTGTCTCCTCTCTGCAGCGATCACGAGGGCGGGAACGTCAGTGCCCACACCAGCCACCTGGTGGGCAGCGCCCTCTCTGACCCCTATCTCGCCTTCGCCGCCGCCATGAACGGCCTGGCTGGGCCCCTCCACGGCCTCGCCAACCAGGTAGGGTCCTGTTGCCGGCGGGGCTGGGGGTGGGGACGAGGGGCCCGGTCCAGCCTCACCCCCCTGTGCTCTGCCTCTCACAGGAGGTGCTGGTGTGGCTGCCCCACCTGCAGAAGGAGCTGGGGCAGGACGTGTCGGATGAGAAACTGCAGGAATTCATCTGGAACACGCTCAACTCGGGCCGGGTGAGTCCCCCGGCCCTGCTGTGAGAGCAGGTCTCCTCTCTCCCCCGGCACTGACCCCGCCCCCCGTTGCTGCAGGTGGTCCCTGGCTATGGCCATGCCGTGCTGAGGAAGACGGACCCCCGCTACACCTGCCAGAGGGAGTTCGCCCTCAAGCACCTCCCCAAGGACCCCATGTTCAAGCTGGTGGCCCAGCTCTACAAGATCGTCCCCAACGTCCTCCTGGAGCAGGGCAAGGCCAAGAACCCCTGGCCCAACGTGGACGCGCACAGCGGGGTGCTGCTCCAGGTAAGGCCGCGCCCCTCCTTCCCCAGGCCCCTGGGGCCCAGTCGGCTGCTCCCCCACGCCCTCAGCGGGCGAGACTCCGAGCTCCCTGGCGTGGGGCCTGGGCTGAGCTTCCTGCTGCTCCCCAGACATTCCCCACAGTGCGGCTGCTGGCTCTGCCCCGTTGCACTCACAGGCAGCCCTGGGGTCGCCCCCCATCCCCCTTGCCTGCCTCCAGGGACCGAGCCCCCCGCCCCGAGAGGAGAGGCTGGGCTAACCCCCTGCTCTCCCCTCTGCAGTACTACGGCATGAAGGAGATGAACTACTACACGGTGCTGTTCGGCGTCTCCCGGGCCCTGGGCGTCCTGGCCCAGCTCATCTGGAGCCGCGCGCTCGGCTTCCCCCTGGAGAGACCCAAGTCCATGAGCACCGACGGCCTCATGGGGCTCGTGGGCTTCAAATCGGGCTAAAGCCAGGGCCGGGGGGGAGCCCACCTGTGCCAGCTGCCCAGGCACCATTTAAAGGGACAGGACATCTTTTCCCTCCCACGGGCCTCGGCCAGACGCTAGAATTAAACCTTTCTCCGAGGCACTGACCTTAAGTTTCAGGTTATTTATGGAGTAAACGAAGACTAAACAATCAGCCCCCATCCAGCCCCCCCGCCCCCCATTTATTTTAGTGGCACATCTGTTCAAACTCCCCGGGAAGCAGCACCCTTCTGCATGGGCTGGAGACCTGCATGGCTTTCTGGGCCAGCCCGCTCTGTCCCCGGGGCTGGCCGGGGAGGGTCACTTCCGAA